ATAACCATCCAATAACTGTTAGAAGTTACAATGGTGCTGAATGTTCAGTGGTTATAGTTGGTTCTTGGAGATATAATAATATCTCTATTTATAATAATAACAATAATAAAATTTGCTTATTCATTTTAACAAATCACCCTTACATCATTAATCATCTTATATTTCCATGTTTCTAACTTCTGTTTTTATTAACCATTGATAAAATAAGTCCCATGTCAGAAAATATTCATTTTCTTTCTTTTCCTTAATTATAAGTGTTAATCTATCCATCTCTGCACATTCTAGTATTTTTTTAATCACATCTTCATCTGTAGGGATACATACCTGGTTGGAAATGCTAAAGCAACATATAGATTTAAAACCAGAAATTGGTTTTAAAATTGGTTGGGCATTTTATCGGATAAATATAACAAGATGAATACGTATTTGATTATACATGTATTAATTGAATCTAGAATTGTATTTGCACAACAATGGAAAAGTGAAGAGATCCCTACCATACACCCTTCTTAAACACATGCAGGGCTCTCATGAATCCCTGCGTACCATACCTGACCTGCTTAATGCCCCTTGTCTATCTTATGCAACCCCCCCCCACAACTTCTGAATCACCTCTTTATGCATCACTGTGCACCCTCCCTGACCTGCATGGCACCTCTTACGCATCTACATGCATTCTTCCTGACCTCCACATCCCCTTACTCTCTTCCTTACCTAGCAGCAGCTACTTGCCTGCTTGGTTGGAATCTGCAACTTTATCAGGCTTCACCACTGACTGATTGTGGAAAGCCAGCAAGAAGTTGCCTTGCTCAATTATGAATGTAAGTTGAAGACTATCTGTAAAACTGCATAATATCTTGCCTGATTTAGCGATAGGATATTCATTTGAAACTAAAAGTTACATATAGTCTTGTATTTCCAAATGGTAGATTGGGGCTTAGCCTTTTTCTGTTGTTAATATTTTCCTTGTGAGGGGCAGTTTGGTATAGTGGTCAAGGCATCAGGCCAGGAACTGGAAGATCATGAATTCCACCTTAATCACCAAGCCAGATGGGTAACCTTGGACTAGTTACTTTTTCTCAATTCTAGGAAAGAGGCAATGTGAAATCACTTCTTAAAAACTTTGTCAGGAAAACTACAGGGATTTATCCAGGCAGTATCTGAGAATCAGACATGATTAAACAGGAAAAAAAATCCCTCAGAATGTTATTGTGGAAATAATTGCATAATTAAAAATCATCTTGGGGAGGGGATTAAGATAGTCTCCAATCTGGTGTCCTTCATGCTGGCTGAGTATTATAGGAGTTTCAGCTTAAGATAACTGGAATGCACCAGGTTGGTGAGATTGCTGTAAATGATTAATGTCTAGTTTGCTTGTTTTATTCCATTTGTATACCATTTAACTGATTACAGAATTACAGAAAGTTGTAAAATATAGTAATAGATAAATTATGCATAAAATGGATAATTATTTTGAAATGTCAGTGTAATTATGTTTATATACCGATAGTAGCATTATTTATTTAGAAAGTTTATATGTTGTCACACACTTATTGAGCTGTGTGGCTTATATAAAAATAGTATCCATTTATATATTTTTATCAAGCTCTTGCAGATCAAATATCTGACCAAACATAATAATAATCAAAAATAAGATAAGTAAAGCTCTTTAGAGGAAAATCTATAGCTATCAATCTTGGTACAAGTTCTGCTGAATTCATGAGGCAGAATTAGTATCAAGTATTCTCAATAGAAATCAGATCTTTATAAAAATCTCAGACTTAGCATTATGATTAACAATAAAAGCTTAGTCTTCAATTTTGATTTGCATTGTCTTTTACAGCAAGTATAGAAACAATATAAATGCATTCATTTAAATACAACCTTGTTCTGTGCATTTCATAGGATTTCGAGCAGTGAGTTTTACTTTGCACACCAGAGACTTGTTAAGCACAGTGTTAGATATCTTGAACTCCTGCAGTTTATCTACGGATCATGTCCAAAGCTTGAATGGCAGTGTAAATACTCAGTCTAAACAGGAAACCAAAAGAATGTTTCACAGGCCTATTAAATGGGACAAGACATACTACTCTTTTACTGGATTCAAGGATCCTGAGGAAGAACTGGAGCAAGCCCAGAGGATGGAAACCACCCTGAGGTAATGATGTAAAAACATGTTCAGTTGACTTCTTTACAAACTACTGTATTTTTCGGACTATAAGATGCGCTGCCCCCCCACCAAAGTGGGTGGAAATGTCTGTGTGTCTTATAGAGCGAATGTTGCCGAAGCCCCGCCAACCCTCCAGCCCCTACCCTTTGGCCTCTGCCTCCCAGCAATTTGCCTCCTTGCAGCAAACAGCAAACAGCCTGGTCAGCTTCAGCACAGCTTGATTTAGCATGAGCAGCTGATTGTCAGTTGGATCAGCTTCCCGGAATATCACCAATTAGCTGTTACATGCTGCTGGGATCACCACCGCCCTTTGGTGTCATCTATCACCACCTCCATGCACCCCATTTTCGACTTCTGTGTGTCTCATTTTTCGCCTCTGTGCATCCCGTTTTGGCTTCTGCGTGCCCTGTTTTGACCTCTACATGTCCCATTTTTGCCCATTCCAGGCGACGGTGGCAATCCCTGCTCCCTGGAATGAGCCAAAAACAGGATGCGTGGAGGCTGAAAATGGGGTGCACAGAGGTGATGATAGGAGGCAGCGGCAAGGGGCAGCACTGGTGGAGTTCCCCGCAGCCTGGAACATCTGATTGATGGTATTCCGGGAGGTAGATCCAACCACCAATCAGCAAATTGGTGGAAGCAAATACAGATGCTGGGAGGCAGAGACAGAGGCAGGTTTTTTTTCCCCTTGTTTTCCTCCCAAAAAGCTAGGTGTGTCTTATAGTCCAGAGCGTCTTATAGTCCAAAAATATGGTATTCTGTTTGAGGCAGAGCTCTTTCCTAGCCAATGAGCCCATTGTCTTTCTTTGACCATGCACTTTTGTATTTTAAACTTGATATCAAGAAACTACAGGATTTCTGCCTAAAAATGTCTTCACCTGCATCAAATATTTTACATTCTCCAATTTTCACTGTGAATATTGACATGAATGTGTTTGCTTTTTAGATTTAAATTTCTTAAAAATATAATTATTAAACAGGAATGTGTTTTCATTTAACATCTCATGAATAGAGAAGAGTCTGTATGAGAAAACACTGTAAAGAAATACAACCCCTCTATACGCAATAAGTGTAGATAGCATTAAAATCTTAAATGCATGTTTATAGCTAGAGAATTTTGGAGGGATGAGAAAGGGAGTAGCTGACTTGCATGCACACAAAAAACTACTCCCAGTTCAATATTATATAAAATTAAACTACAGCTAATTTTAAATTATGTATAAAATGGATTTTGTACTGGGTCTTAATTTTATAGTAGTTATATATTGTTAGTGCTAATAGCCATTAGATATTCTGTTCTCTCATGGTTTTAACTTTTTAACTGAGAATAGCAGACTTCCAACAATAATGTTTTGCTTATCTATTGTGCTGCTAATTTTTAAATGCAGTGGTAATCTGTATTTGTTTCTTACCATCTCTTACCATGTAGCTCTTGGTTAGATAATAATGAAAAAAGTGCCACGAAGAAACTGGAGGACAGCTTACCACTCAGAAAAGAATTAGATCGTTTGAAAAATGAACTCTGTCAGCAGTTACAGCTCTCTGATATTAGGTAATACATTAACTTTTTAGAGAGAAACAAACTTTTCATATAAGTTTCAGGATAAATAGAAAAATAGACCTAAAATAAATTGGCCCTAGCAAATACATTTTAAATTATGCTAAAACATGTGCTCTGTTGAAAAATAGTTTCTACTTTCAAAAAATGCACTATTTTTTTTAACAGACTTTATTCAGTTTTTCACATTAAAAACAAAAATCTCTTTTTAGTGGACAACATATTTCCGGGTCATCATCTTTACATACAAATATGACAGAAATTATACATTGATATATGCATACTTAATTCTATTATTACCTTTTCCATTCCAGATTTTCAGTAAGGAGAGAAACAAACACATTAATTCTAGCCTCTTTCATTAATCTCAATCAATTTTGTTTCATTTCAATTATTTCAAATATAATCCTTTAGTATTTGTTTTTAAACATAAAGATAAACAATATGTGTTTGCCTAATAAATAATAATAAAGTTTAATTCTAAATTCTTTCATTAATCTCAATCTAAACATCTTTTTATTTCATTTCAATTATTTCAAATATAATCCTTAATATTTATTTTAAAAATAAAAATAAACAATATATATTTGCCTAATAGTAGTAATAATGAAGTTACCAATGTCTCTCCTTGCTTTTAATAATCTATATTAAACTTATTAATTTAGCTGGTTCTTTAGTCTGTCATATTCCCTTTCCATTACACATTTTCTTTTATGAATTCTAAATTAATACAGATCTTAACACACCCACACAAAAAGAAAAAAGAACAAGTATAAGTTTCCCCTCTTACTATTTTGAGTGTGACACCTTAATGATTAGAATATACCTTTATTCCCTCATCTTAATTCCCAATAAACCATTAGTCATTACATCTTTTCAATTGGATTCCACAGCATATTCCCCCCCCCTTTAATAAGAGTTATCAGTATCTATATTACCCTATTTTCTAAATATTTTTAATTGCAGAGATATTCTTATTACCCCTTGTCACCCTGCAGAATCCCCTTTTTAATTCATCAACCATTATCTCTGAAAAAGCAATTTCTTTTCAGCATTTTACTAGTTCTGTGTTTCTTTCTTTCACATGCCTGTTTCTTACTGCTTAAAGCAGTAAGAAGCAAAAAATGCACTATTTGTATCACAAGTGTTTTTCCAAGAAATAATTGCTTGCTCAGTTTTTCTATAATGTAGTGGATACATTTTATATAAGGCTTATAATGCTCCAAGTATTGTAACTATTTTGTTTCTCTAATCTTTTTTAATTTACATAAAGATTAATTATACAGCATCTAATATTTTAGTAAAAATATTAAAAGATAAGACTATTCTTGTCTATAAACTACCAATTCAGTGATTTCTAAAGGAAGTTATTTCAAAAATGCATTTTTTTTTTGTAATTAGCTTGTGACCAGGTTTTTTTACAGGATTTGTAGAAATACATAATGCAAATGAACCTGTTTTATATTTTGAAGGATTTATTAAGAAAATTCATTAAGGTAAAAAAAAAAACTCACTGGTAGAACATCTTACTATCAGTCATCATCAATTTGTGAGAATCCCTTTGCATTAAGTAAAAAAAAAAATCCATAATGTATTTTCTTCTGAGAACCGTTTTCTGACTCTTACCAAACAACTGTCTTCAATCTTTTGTGAAATTACACAAACCAATCAGCTTTTAGCATTACTCAGACCATTTAGGTTGGCAATCTTCCATAAAGCTATAAATTTTCAACAGCCATTACTGTTGTTTTAGAACAACTTTGTCACTTTGAATGTGCACTGATCGACATACATTAAAATGAAATGTCATTGCATACAGCTCTCAAAGGGTCACCACCTCCAATATACTCTACATAAACATGACAAAATAAATAAATAAATACTTAGTTATCTGCACCTCCAGATACTTAATATTGACCACTTCTACAGCTGCACCCTTGATACTGAGTGAAGTATGACTTCCGGCTCCTTCTAAAATCTACAATGAGCTCCTTTATTAACATTTAGAACCAGGTTGCTTTTATTGCATCTGTCCACCAGAGCCTTCACCTCTTCCCTATAAGCATCTTCATTGTCATCATGGATAAGACCCACCACTGTTGTGTCAACCACATACTTCACAGTATTATTGATAGCAGATTTGGCAGAGCAGTCATGGGACATCAAGGAGAACGGTAGCGGATTCAAGACACAAGCCCTGTGTGGAACCTGTAGTCAAGGAGATAGAGTTAGAAACAAACTGGGGCCTATCAATACTCTTAAATTCTGCCTGCCATTATACTACTTCTATCAAATTTCTAATTCTTTACAGTCCTCTGTCCTTACTTTTTAAGTAATTAATGTCAAACCAACAGTTCTTCCTTTTTCTGCAGGAACATTTTCAACAGGAAATCTCTTCTATATTCAGCTTTTACTTACCTGGTCATGTAAAAAATGTTTGACTGACTGGGCAAGTACAGGAATAGCCAGCAGAAACCAACGCTGAAAAAATGTGTTTATATTTACATATATTGTTTTCCAAATATGATTTCTTTTAAAAAATAGCCTTTGTTATTATTTTTAACAAATGAAATTATTTTTGAACTGGGAAAATTTAGGCTGAATCATTAAATCCTTTTAGTACCTATGAACAATTAGTATTTTTAATTAGTATTTTTATTTTACTGAGAAGACCACTTCAAATGAGAATTACTACAAGAGAAGGCTTGGGTGCCCTTATTATATATCTGTCAGTATTAGACAAAGTCAAGTTGGTCCATTTCTTCCTATTTCCTATCTATCACTAAGTAAACATTTAAGTATGGTGCATTTTTTTGCATTGATGCACTTACTAAAAACCTCCTGTCTTTAATAACAAAATGTTTTTAGCCAAATCTTAGATACCCATGTTTACCTCCAAATAAAACCCAGTTAGAGTTAGGGTTTGTCACCCTAACCCAGTCTTATTTTCTTTTGGCTCCAAAATAAGCACTTCAGGGGATGTCTTATTTCTTTTGAGTGCCGCCACTGCAAGGCAGAGCATGGAACTGTCCCACATGCCCTGCACCAGCTTTCCTCAGGAACCCTGCAGCCAGGCCATCCATACCCTGACACCTGCCTTGCCACTGGAGCAGCACCAGAGTAGGAGGCCAAATGATGTGTTGGTACCACAGCCATGAGGCAGAGCAGTTGTCGGGGCATGGATGGCCCGGCTGTGGGGGCCCTGAGGTAAGCCAGTGTAAGGCATGTGGAGCAGCTCCACCCCACTGCCTCGCTTCATGTCTGCAGGACTAGTGCGTCCTCAAGCCTCCTGCTCCAGCACCATGCCAAAAGAAGTGGATCTGCTGCCATGTGGGCTCCTGCTGCACATGACTGCTTGTGCAGCCACCACAAGGCAGTTGTCGGGGTGTGGATGGCCTGGCTGTGAGGGCCCTGAAGTAAGCCGATGTGTGTGGAGTAGCTCCACCCTCTCTCACCTTACCTCATGTCTATCCGCAAGTAGAATGGGTAGCCGGGTGACTGCAGGTGCTTAAGTAGGGTTTATTTTAGGGGTAGGGCTTATATTGAGTACATGCGCATAAACCATGCTAGGGCTTATTTTGGGGAAAATACAGTTGTGAAAGTTATTACTTATGCAGAAGGTTGTAGCTATAGTCTAAATAGAAGAAAACTGTTCCTAAACAATCATTTAAATAATATTATGAAATTGGAATTATTTACATTGCAGTAACATTTAAAGTACTGTTTTTTCAATCAACTATCAATATTATGTATGGCTGTAAAATTTTGAAATAAATACAAATTTGAATTGCTTTTTTAGATGGCAGAGGAGTTGGGGTATTGCTCATCGATGTAGCCAGTTACATAGCCTAAGTCGCTTGGCACACCAGAGTCCAGAAGTACCTAAGAATGCTAAAGGTACATTTTCATATTGCAATTTTCTTTAATTGTAATTTCATTAACAAAAAGAATTCAGAACATTAAGCTTAATACAAAACATATTAGCACAGATCTAGTAAATCTACCTGCTTTTCTTCAAGATAGAAGTTAGAGTAATATATTTGTCCTAAGAAACTCACTTTATACACCCTGTAAGCAGAGTTTTCCTCATCAGTTTATCTTGTATTCCAATAACTAAGAATATTTACCTTTCCTTACTATAGTCTTAACCTGTTTGTCTAACTTAGAACACTTCCACATGGCACCATTTGTACTTTCTATTTCCACTAATTCCTCATCAGTGTTAATTGTTTCTATCTTTTGCTAACTTTCAAACTTTGGAAATAGACAGAGAACACCATGAACTAATTAGTTTTCTTCTAGTTAACCAACACAGTACAAAAATAATTTAATTCAATACCCTAATTCTTGGAATAATGGCAGTTCCTAGAATTAAAAAATATCTTTGCTCCTGCTTCACAGAGAAAGAGAATTGAAATACTATTCTGTCTTCCCACCAGCCCATATATATTTATATATGCTGTACACTTTTGACCCATTTTGGGGGGGGAAATCTCAGTCTATTCAAGAAAGTTTCATTCTCTCACATACTTGTTTCTTTTCTGTGAAATGACCATTCCCATTTCTACTATGATTTCTCTTTCCAACAGGACAAACAGTGATATTTACAGACCGCTCAGGAATGAATGCAACAGGCTATGTTATGCTAGGAACAATGGATGTTCATCACCACTGGACCAAAGTAGGATTTTTTTTAGTACTCAACATGTGGGTGGGTGGGTAAAGTGGGTGAGTCTGTCTGTCTGTCTATCTATCTATCTATCTATCTATCTATCTATCTATCTATCTATCTATCTATCTATCTATCATCTTATTTATTACCTGAGGTTGTATTCATTATACACTCTAAGTGGCTTTTATCCACCACAATAACAAACAAAAAATAGTCACAGAGTCAAATAATCATTAAAACATACTCTCATCTCTAAACAATCATTTCCCATTTGATAATTGTTCCATTCAATGGTGTTCCCTGCACAGAATGCTCTCTGAAATATTTGTTGCTTTATAGAAAGCAAGAAAAATCAGACCAAGTAGATGCAAACATTGTCACTTAGAAATCTTAATGATAGTTTGATAAATCAGCATCTATATTTACCATTTAATATGTAAAAAAAAATAATTTGTTTGAAATTAGTTTCAATGTGTTTCTTAACCCTGGTAAAGGGGACAATGTTGGGATGCATTTATTCTCTGATTGACTTCTGAACTCTTCCCTTGCTTCAAATAAAAGCTGACATAAGCATCAGCACTTTAGTTAATTGCAAGTATGACTTCTCATGTTTCTGCACGTTAATGTTATTTGGGGAACAAATAATATAAGCACTAAATAGCAAGTAGGGTATTGTATATAGTAATACTAGTGTCCCCTGTGTATACTATTTCTTTTTAAAAATTACACCAGCTTTTTCCAACAAGTTGCCAATGGGTAGAAGTGAAAATTGTACAGCAAATTCTGGGCAAATTGTGTTGAATATATAGCAATGTGCGTTATAGTAACAACTGAAAACTGGTGTCTATCTTTTAAAAAATTAGCTTAATGCTTACGTATTTTCTAAAACTGCTTAGTTTGGAGAATTGTAGGAGTGTTTACTACTATCATGAACTTTTAAGAAAATCTTTCATTTTGTACAGATTTTTGAGAGGTTGCCAAGTTACTCTACACTGCAAAAAAAAGTGCTGTTTCTAGAGGAGCGCATTAGTGAACTTTTGGGAGGCATACAAATAACTTATGTTGAAGAACTTCAGCCAATGTTGACAATTGAAGAGTATTACTCTATTCTTGACAACTTTTATGATCAAGTGCATAATAAGAGACTTCCATTTCACCCTAATAGTCTGCGTGGATTGCAGATGATTCTAGGAAGGTGTGTATCTAAAGAAGTAGATATTGTTTCCTAGGTTTATCTTTAATGATAGTTATGTTGTAGTCAGTTGATTTTTCTGAAATACTTATTTTGACTAAGCTTGGAGGGAAATGGAGGGAAAGTGCTTGAACATAAGGAAATTTATTTTCTGCTGTTGGATATAGTTGCTGAAAAGGAGACCTGTGCAGGAAGCCACCTAATTTACTTCAAGGGCTGAATCTCATGCTTTGAGAATGGTCCAGTCTCCCCAGGCTGCTGTAGGGGTAATGTGTTCTAATTTATTTTCAATCCTGAAGCATAATTTATGGAAAAACAAAAATAACAATGTTCTGTTTTCATTAAGATTGCCACAAATTATTTGTTAAAAATTGTGCTTAGTCATCTATTTTTCTTTTCTCCAATTGATGTAGTTGCACCCTGACTCTTGGGGACAAGTTTCTGCAGTTCCCTTGATAATTTTTTGAAAATGACTTTGCTATTTCTTCCTAGAGTCTCCTAGTACCTAGGGATAAAAACACATAACCAAAGTCACCTGGCTGATTTATATGCTTAACATGGGATTATAATGTACTATAATCTCTCAGATTCTAATCCAGCATCTTTAACACTCTGACTGCCTGCATTATAGTCTTGTTGCTCAGTTCTGTAAAGTGGGCATGAACTGGTTATTTGCGCAAGGAGAAACCATTTCAATCCAAATCACATTCTTGAATTTCTTGCCATTCCTTTTGACAGTAGCAACTTCAGTATCTCCCTAACTGATCAAAACCTTTTCTTGACTCTGACATCATGTTATAGATACATCATGCTACACAGTTCAGGCAGTAATTCCTCTCCTATGCAAAATATATTTTTATTTAAATTATCAGGATATCTTGATATTTTATGTAATAACAGATTTTTTCAAGATTGGACTAATTTTTTTTAATTGTTGACAAATTAATATTCCTGGCTTGTCTTATTTTTCTTTTGTATCGAAACTTTACTACTTGCTTCCAAAGTGTTTCTAGAATTTCCAGTATCATTAATAGACCTTTCGTTTTCCTATTATTACTCAGTGTCATCAGCTGGCAGAGCAGTCTTTTCTTTGCCTCACATGATCTTGTCACCTATCCTTCATGCTGCGATTGTGATTACTGATTGTGGTATGATTACAAAGATCTCTTTGAATAAAGACAGACCTTTGATCACTGACCAATTGTTCTTCTTTCTTCCCTTCCCAACATATCATTTTACATAAGCAGCAAAAGTTTTTGTTCTGTTTGATGTAGCTATTTGCAGTAAAGTGAAGCTTCAGAACTTAACATCAGTACAAACTTTGAATGGAGTTTTGAATCAGGACAAGGTTGGTTAATATCATATCTTACACCCTCTTTAAATGGGAGCCTAATCATGGCATAGCTCCACTGGAAAATATTTCTGCATCTATTACAGTGTTTCATGTGAAATGCTATAGTTATAATTGGAATGAAATTTCTTTCCTAATTTGTTTCTCTTTTTTTCTCTCATTCTTACTTTCTGTCACACACACGACACATAGCTGCATGCACATACTATTACTTCAGAGCTGTGCTAATCTAACTTTGATACTGTACATTCATTTGAAATAAGAGAAGACTCCTGCTGTTATTCCCATTTTACATAAAACTTTATTCAATGCTTTTTAATTCATAAATAAGGTCAATCTTAATCTGGAACATCATATTTGTCACCCAGTTCACTACATCTGTTTCCATTGCTTCATTTCCTACAAATGCATATCTATTATATTATTTCAGTTTAATTCTTATGTTGGTTCTTTGCTTCAGAAGACTTACGTGCATATCAAAATATTTTTAAAGTGATATATTTTGGAAAATATTTAAATAGCAAGAAGTTATAAAAGGAATACTTACCATATGATCCACAGAAATTAATTTAAGCCAACTTTCCCATTTTCACAAAGAAATCCCTATTTTGCAGAACAAATGAATTGTATGTAGCAGGCAGTTTTGTAGTTGAGGACAAATAGATTATTAACAAATTTGGAGACATAATGTTAAAAGCATGGCTAAACCATAAGATAAATTTTGAAAGGCATGTATGTGTTGAAAATTGGCAGAATTCTAGTTATATTAGGCTTTAGGAAATTCCTATTAATTTTTGGGGTATCACAAAACTATTATTATGGATGGAATATCTGTGACTATGGTTCACTTGGCTTTGAGGCACATTGTCAGAATATTAGAAACTTGAAGCTTTTTAAATAATTGTGTATATTTCAGTTCTTTTCTATATTTGTTTAGATTATTTATCAGACTACAGTAAAATGTATTTAATGAATGTCACTGGCTAATCAGTCTGCATTTGTGACTGAATTTAGAAAAAGATAATAAAGCTACAAATTTCTTTATAAGGATTTCTATTGCAGAACTTCTGAAAAAGGATAATTTCAAGATATTCTGGCATTTTATGTATTGAACATTTTATGTATTAAACAACAATTATTTTAATTAAAGTTTTTCCTGCTTCAGATCTTTCCTTAAAAATAGAACAATAAAAAGCAGTCACTTAAAATGAAGGAAGAACAGGCTACAAATAAAAAATATTATAAATCATTTTAAAATAATGCATTTTCAGCTTCTCTCTTGTACAACACTCTTCAAACCACATTCCATAGACTGGAATATAGCTAGCAATACAAAAGCCTTTCCTTGAGTTCTCCATGTTCCACATGTTCTCCAGGGAGGAATTTAGGGGGCCCTGAGTTTTAAATCAGTTATAAAATTTTCCTAGCATAATTATTTCTCTTATTCCAGAAATAAACTGGTAGAAGATGTTAGGGTTACAGAATCATAGAAACATACAATTTTCTGCATTACCTAAAATACACATGATATGAAATGAACTTCCATCCTCCACTTTGTAATCTTCTAGTATGCAAAGCAAACTTGGAACTCAGAAAGATCAAATGATAAATACAAAAGGCTGCTAATTATGAATTCAAAGCTGCAAAAGTACTAGGGATGTAATTTGTTTAATATTTTTAATTGGGTGGAAATTATATTGTGGTATTATGTTAAATCATTGCATATTCCCAAATTTCTAAAGCTTATTTTCTTTTGAATTAATCTTTTTTGATATGAACATTACATAATTTTGGCTACAAATAGCAAGATCAACTTCTTTGTTATATCGTTTATGCAGTGACAGATATGCACCAAGTCTTCATGAACTCGGTCACTTCATCATCCCGGTAATGTGTGATCTAGTAACTCTCCAGTGGTTTATCATGGACAAAACTCAACAAGCAAGAGAAAAACTGAAAAGAAAGGAAGAGTAAGTATTACTCAAAACACATATTCCAGTCTGTATTTGATAACTTGAGTGGTTCCAAGGCAACACTCCACAGCATGTGTAAATAGAAATGAATATTAGTCTACAAGATTCTCTTGCACTCAGAGGTTTCTTATGCTGTTGAGTCTTAACTTATAGAGTAGTGTACATATATGTATATTTAAATGTATGTACATAATAATATGTATACACATATAAATCAGATTTTAGGGAATAATAAACTTGAGGTGTAGTAATTGAAATCAGTATTAGCCAGATGTTAAGCAAACCTCTCAAATTAATTATAAAATTGAATTTCAATTGGCAAAAAATGTGGAATAGGGGACACTTGAGAAAGTACTTGAGAAGATAATTGAGAAATGCTTCAACTACTATATATTTTCATATTTCTTTAAAATCACCTTTGAAAGAATGTTGCAGATTATTTGCAGTTTGAGAAAGGGAAGATTTTTTTAGTAATTCCAAAAATGCAGTCTTTTTAAAGCCAAGAACTGATTTGGTATCTTCCTTTGTGTTTTATAATATTATTAAGGTGTGCATGGAATGTTTATAATTTCAGGTCCATACTACTAGAAAAGAAGCTGATCAAGGCTGTCACAAAGAAATTTTGTCTTCAACAGCTATATAAAGAACCCAGTGTTTCCAGTGCACAAATGATTCATTCATGCAGCAATCTACTGGAAGAATCATTGCCATATTTACAAGGTATGCATCTCTGCATTTCCCACTTCTTTTCTGTTCTGCAAGATGGAGACCTCTGTATCCCTTGGAACTGGAAAAACTGAAAGTAAATGGTGCTATACTCAATGTAAAAGAGAACAAATGTTATTTATGCATTGGTTTAAACAACTAAATTGAATATTTCCCAAAGTAAATTATGAACAAAAATTCCATGCCAGTATTAGGAAACAAGGCATAGCATTTATCTGGATTTTCCTGCTGTTCAGAAAATCTAAAAGTATTATGTCTACGCTTTTTTTGGCAAGACTCTATATATAAAGCGGGGTGAATCACTCCACTAAGTTGCATATGGCTCGATTTCAAGACTAATGAAACTGTATAGTGGGAAATGAGGTACACAAACTTTGAATGTAATACAAGAAGCACACAAATGTGAACCTTAAATGTTAAAATTTATATATCCCCATGTAATATAGGAAGATAAAGATTTCAGTATGCACAAGTTGTGTTTGGAGAAGCATTCTCAGAATGAAAGATGGTAATTGAAATTATTTTGTAGTGGAAATGTTTTTGAAAATAAATATTTCTGCAGAATCCTAGTGGTAAATATTACTGATATACTGTATTTGCAGAATTATTGTACACCTTGTTTGACAAAGATTTTACAAAGGTCCATTGAAATGTTTTGTCTGTTAGATCTTGCACTTTATATTTTTCATGTAAATAAAAGTAGCTCTGTATATGATCAATTCCTTCTGAACATGAATTTTAAGCATTTCTGCTTTTGATTAAGATAGTAATATGTGCTTCTTTGTAGACACTTCAGTAGATATTATTTGGGACTTTTAGGTCGGTTTACCTCATGCCTTTACAGAGAATAGCCACTGAGGACCTATTAGCCTCGCTGCCATTCAGTCATATATTTTTCATATCAGATCCAGGTTGATTAGGCTGGAGAAGCCTTCTGGGTAGCCCTGATATACTTACATGCTAATTCATCAGTAATATAGATTAGACTATGTCCTTACAGAATCCATCTGCATATATGATCATTGGATGCTATGTAAAAGTATTTAAAGAAAAATATTTTAGGACCTACTATGGCAGAGGAGAAAGCTGTTTGTGCTAATTAAGGTCTTTTTCTGCTAGGCATGCAAGCTAGTGGAGATGACTACCTTACATGGAAGTTCCCAGTGTTTGGGACTAGGATGGACTTATGGGAAGGAAAAGGCATGCTGAGCATGTTTTACAATCTTTAGATAGTTCACTCTTTTCCAGTTGAGTGCTGTATCTTTCACATTGAGCCACAATTAATATCCTGACAGAGGTTGATAGAAATTGTAGGCCACTCAGTTTTGCACTAGGTGGGAAAGGCTGACATATATGAATAATTCACAGGTGACCCAATTATGGCCCTGCAGATTTTTGCATTCCAGCTCCCACCAACTTCTGTTACCCTTGCCAATGTACCAATGTACAAATACATTAGCTAGGGTAACAGAGGAATAAACATCTGCATTATCTAGAGTAACATAGGCATAAACATCTGCATTATCTAGAGTCCACAGATTGCTCCTTCCTGGATAGTCATATGTATCAGATCAACAGCAACCTTACCAATTTGATTTTGCTAGCATGAAAAGAACCAACAGCAATTGTTTGCTAAGAGATTGTGACATATTTGTTCTTATCCGAGTTTATGTATGTCTTACCTGAAGAAGAGAGGCTTTGATAAAAATCTACATACAAATAAGTATTTGAATAGGGCACATTGTTTTGAATATTATTGAACTAAAATGTTAAAGTTTTTAAAATTTTAACCTTCTCAATAAATTTCATAAAATGCACTTACAAGTTGTTTAAAATGGATGACTATCTTGATGAAAACTCTGAATAAAGACGGAAGAAAGTATTAATTCCTATAAATGATGAAGCACTTTTGTCCTAAGTAAGGGCTGTTGATGTTGCAGATTCTCAAAAAACAATCCTAAACTTCAGGAAGGATACATCTTTTACTGTTATCTGATGTTATAATATGAGTTTTTACTGACCTGTGCCAAAATGTTTAAATGACTCATAATGAGATATCTGTGTGTTCTAAAAATAAAACAGAGTCTTAAAATTATCAGTGAGTATGCTACTTTTTATGGCTGAATTATTTTAGTAAATTATTTGAGTAACTATTTTGTTTGCAATGTTCTAGTTGGCAGCAATAAAAATTGCAGAAAGAAATAAAGGGATTTATAAGATACTTTGTAATACCATGGTACATGGTTTTTTGGTTGCATTATGGCAAATGATAAATTCATGACAGCTTATCTCACAAAACATGCTGTGATGTATTAGAACAGGAAAATAATAGTGTAGATTTCCATCTTCACAAGCCTTGAAAGCTGAAGACCCAACTGGTTTAAGAATTCTGTTATGTTATTCCTGTTGTTATCAGAAGAGGGCGAACTTTCCAAAAGAATCCTGGAGGAAATCCCAGATAGGGTAAGAATGCAAAGTAGAGACCTGGCTGGGAAGGATTTCATAGGTGGAGTCCAGTTTTCCTTTCTCTACTGTGTTGTCAAGTTTCTTGCTGCCTCATCTTCTGAAAATAAACCTTAAGGTATTGATGCCAATAAATAATTTTTAGAGAACAAAATTGCTGATAGTGCCATTTTCAGGGGGAGGAATTGTTAATTTTACATTTAACAATATTTTTTTAATTGTTGTGTTCTTAGGGCTGCTAAAATTTAAAAAAAGATAAATGTGTACTATTTAAATGCCTATCAGTGTTTACTTAAATGATTTTATCTTACAGCTTCAGATTATTAGAGCTCAACAGTCAAAATCTAATTTTTATGGTGTGAAGATTGTACTGTGTTGTAGCATTCTAGTCATTATGTTCATATGGAAAACAATTGTCTCAAATAGTTTTTTAGTGATCTCAAAGCTAGAAGAGTCTATACATAATGAAAAGCAAGGATGTGGTAAACAAATACCCTGCTGATTTGGTGATTCTCAGCAAAGAAAATGGAAACTATTATTGGGAGATATTTCCTAGATAGCTTTTAGTAGAAAGCTGAGTCTAAATGCTCCTCTAGAGAAAACAAAATTAGATAACAGATAATCAGAGTTGGAAGGGACCTTGTAGGTCATCTAGTCCAGCCCCCTGCCCAAGCAGGAGACCCTACACCATTTCTGACAAATGACAGTCCAATCTGTTCTTGAAAGTCTCAAGTGATGATGCTCCCACAATTTCTGAGGGGAAGCTGTTCCACTGGTTGATTGTTCTCACTGTCAGAAAGTTTCTCCTTATTTCCAGGTTAAATCTCACCTTGTTCAGTTTCCATCCATTATTTCTTGTCTGGCCTACAGGTGCTTTAGAAAATAGCTTGACCCCTTCCTCTCTGTGGCAGCCCCTCAAATATTGGAAGACTGCTATCATGTCTCCCCTGGTCCTTCTCTTCACTAGACTTGCCATGCCCAATTCCTGTAACCGTTCATGTTTTAGTCTCGTCTCCTAATCATCCTGTTCTTCTCTGTACTTTTTCTAGAGTCTCAACATCTTTTTCATAGTGTGGTGACCAAAACTGGATTTGGTACTCTAGGTACTCTTACTAAGGCTTTATAGAGTGGTATTAATACCTCACTTGATCTTGATTGTATCCCTCTGTTAATGCAACTTAGGATTGCATTAGCTTTTTTGGCTGCTGCTGCACACTGCTGGCTCATATTTAGCTGGTTGTCCACTAAGACTCCAAGATCCCTCTCACAGTTACTGCTATTGAGCCTGGTTTCACCCAGTCTATATGTGTACTTTTGGTTTTTCCTGCCTAAGTGTAGGACTTTATTTTTCTCTACATTGAATTTCATTTTGTTAAATAGGGCCCAGTGTTCAAGTCTGTCAAGATCCCTCTGGATCTTGAGCCTATCTTCTTAGGTGTTAGCTATTCCTGCCACCTTAGTATCATCTGCAAATTGCAAGTCTTTGTTCATTTTGAGCCTTTGCTTTCCTGACTTCATCTTTGCAGATTCTGGCTATCTGCTGATATTCTGCCTTAGTTGTATGTCCCTCTTTCCATTTTTTGTACTTGTCTTTTTTTTCCTTTCAATTTGCTAAAGAGATCTTTGTGCAGCCATGCTGGTTTCTTCTTGGATTTCTTGTTTTTCTTTCTCAGTGGTATTGTGCTGGTCTGGACTTCTATGATCGTACTTTTCAGAGTTTCCCAAGATTCTTGAGTTTTCCCCTTTAGGATTTTCATCCATGGAATCTTTGCCAAGTTATCCCTGAGTTTATTAAAATCAACTCTTTTAAAATCTAAGACTCTGGTGTCAATATGTTCTATTGTTTGTGTTTGTGTTATGTTGAATTCTAGTATGACATGGTCACTCACCCAAGGTTCCTGCAGTTTCAGCTCCCTCTATCACCTCTTCTCTGTAAGAATTAAATCCAGTATGGCTGTCCCTCTAGTTCCATCCTCTACCTTTTGGACAACGAAGTTGTCAGCTAGGTTGGTTAGTAACCTATTTGATTTCTCACTTGGTGCAGAATTAGTTTTCCAATTGATATCAGAATAATTGAAGTCCCCCATTACTATTGCGGTGTGTTTCCTGCATATATTTGTTGGTTGGCAAAAAGGACATCTATTTTTTCTGCTTGATTGAGTGGCCTATAATATACACCTATGGCCATGTCATTCTATTTTTCTTTTATATCGACCCATATGCATTCTAGAAGATTTTCATCTTTGGTTTCATACATTTCTGTAGCAATATTGTTAGTGGTCCTTTACATACAGTGCAATTCCATCTCCTCTTTTATGGGGTCTGGTTTTTTTGAACAGTTTGTATCCTTCTACCAGTATGTTCCAATCATGGGTTTCATCCCATCAAGTTTCTGTTATTCCAACAATATCATATCTACTTTCATGTATTAGTAGTTCGAGTTCACCCTGTTTGTTCCCCAGACTTTGTACATTTTTATATAGGCACTTGAGATCTTTATGTCTGACACTGTGTTTACTGTCTACATAACCTGTTTTCTGCCTGACTGCCCCTACTTTTTTGCCACCTGTTTGATTTGTACACATGGTATGGCATTCATTTATTAAGTACCGTATATACTCGAGTATAAGGCGACCCGAATATAAGCCGAGGCACCTAATTTTACACAAAAAACTGGGAAAACTTATTGACTCGAGTATAAGCCGAGGGTGGGAAATGCAGCAGCTACTGGTAAATTTCAAAAATAAAAATAATTAATTTGGGAAACGATCTCACTATCATGAAAGGTTTAATTGATTCACTAACCCAAAAGAAGAAGATGATGATGACAGCGGGAGGCAGGAGTCACTCTCTTCCCCTCCCTCGGAGGCCCCC